AAATGCTTGAACCAGCCAGAGGTGAAAAGTTGTCATCTTTTCGAGTTGCTATAAATGTGACTGAGAAGTGTTGTTCTTTTATTCCTTAAAAACTTCTGAGCAAGTCTCAGGAAAGTACTTTGTACTATTTGTTACACAATGACAAACTCCTAACAAAGTTCTCAGACATCACATTTAAAACATTTTGTCATTCAAATGCAAAAGGACAAGCATTGTTGGTTTAAATTTCCATTAAATTATCTTTGAATGTGCCTCACAAAAGTGTAAAAAGAAATGCAGGTGACTTTAGTTTTTTAAGTGCTGCATGCTGAGCAGCTTGTCAATAAAATCTTGATCAAAACTGGGGATACCATCAGCTTGTAAATGAGAGATGATATCAGTGTGTGCCCTCTGTCCTCTGAGGCAGCAGTGACGCTTCTCAAATGTGCTTTGAAAATGTATCTTAGTACTGACCTAAACTACGCATTTGGCAGCCTGCATTTGGCTTTTGGCCCTCCAGGTTATGATCTTGTCAAGTGTCAGGGTTTGCACTGGCTCCTTTAGGCACTGTGTGGAGGTCTCCGATCAATAGCACAGAGTTTCCTTCACCAATCCAGAGCAAGCTAGACTCTGGTGTCATCTCCCTGGAGCCCAGAAAAGTGTGTAGTTTCTCACTGGCTTGATTTCCATGTTCAAAACAAGACCTTGTCCTGCCCTTATGATAGAGACAGCATGCATTTCTCTCCCCTGCCGCTGAGATCTGCACTCTGGCAGATGTTGAAAGGTGAAGTTTCATAGTTGAGAAACATCTTGATCTCTATGATATTTGTATCAGGTTTTTAAGAATGTGATACCCTCTAAGAACTTTGCAAACCTAAGTAGAGATTATTTTAAATGGCTTAACAATTCTTTAAACCATATGTCAATACAAGGACACCTGAAAAAAAATTAATGTTACCTGATACAGCTGCCTGTGCTGACTGAGAAGGAATGTGTTCTCCCTCATTCTGGTTATAGCAGGAGTCAGCAGACTATTGTCAACCTAAAAGGAAGAAGCTGAGGCAAAATTAGTGTAAGTAGAGAGTTTATTTGGACCAGACTTAAGGATTGCCACCCAGGGGCATAGATTCAGCTTGTCCTGAATACACTCTCCAGTTAGTAGCGGGTACAAATGGACTTTTAAAGGCAATAAAAGGGGGACAGGCTGATACAAAATTGTTTGTCAGGAATTCTCATTAGTTTACAGAAATAGCATTGATTAGTGATTGGCTATACATTGTTTAGGCTGTAGGATGTGGGCTGTAATGTCCAGTGTGGAATTATTAGGTTAATTTATAACCTCTTGTAGCAATAGCAAGCAGTTTCAAGAGAGGCACACATAGCTCAAAGAGGGAAGCAGGATGGGACAGCGATCTCATTTTTTTTTTTTTTTTTGAGTTGGAGTCTCACTCTGTCGCCCAGACTGGAGTGCAGTGGCCGCTCCCGGCCACCGCAGCCTCGACCTGCTGGGCTCTGGCGATCCTTCCGCCTCAGCCTTCCGAGTAGCCGGAATTACAGATGCACACTACCACGCCCGGCTGATTTTTGATTTATTGTAGAGATGAGGTCTCACCAAGTTGCCTGGGCGGGTCTCGAACCCGTGGGCTCAGGCAATCCATTCACCTCAGCCTCCCAAAGCGTGGGATTACAGGCTGAGCCATGGAGCCCGGCACGATCTCATTTCAATGTCCCTCTGAACCTGATAATTAAAAGGACTTACATTCCTCAGATAAAAGTTCTTTTCTCAGTCTGTATGACTCATGAGCCAAATCTGGCCTACTGTGTTTTTTTTAATAAACAAATTTTATTGAAACACAGCCACATTCATTTATTTACCTGGTGTGGATGGCTCCTTTCCTGCTACAAAGAGTTGAGTAGTAAGAAAAAGAACTGATGGCCTGGAGAGCCCTTGACAGAACAAGTTTACCAGCTTCTAGGTTATAGCATACTGTTAGTACAATGAGGCTTCAGATTCGTAGTTTTGGGGCCGTGGGCAAGTTATTTCACTAGGATACTGAGGATTAAAATATTAAATGAGGTAATATACTTAAAACCCCATGCCTCACAAATATTGTGGGCAGGCCCATATCAAGCACTTAGCACAATGCCTAGGACATAGGAAGTACTCAGTAAACGCACAAAAAAAAGCTCATTGTTTTTAGCTTTCTTATTTCTGTCTTCTGGACATTATTTTGTGGACATTACTCTGGAGTTGTTGGAATTCAGGTATTTTCCCTCCCCACTGTTCTGCCAGATGGCAGCTCTATTTCCTACAAGGAGGCAGTAAATGACTATTGAGATTTCATGAATGCCATAGATGGGAAGAAAGTAGGTGATGCTGTGAGATAAGGTGTGAGGAACACAGGAAGTAGCCAGTCGGACTCTGGAACTGGAAATTTCTGGGCTTTTATCTCTGTTCTACTGTTTACTTTAGAGGTACAACCCACTTCAGCAAGTCGGTTAGCCTTTCTCTTCTTCAGTGTTTTCATGGGTTCTCATTAATCAGGGTGATCCACGGGATTGTGAGGATGTACTGAGTCCAAATATAGAAAGTGCTTACCTTATCAGATGGGCTCCGTGAGTGTTCGCTTTTAACTGTATTGCTGTGTGGAGGCAGGAGTGGCAAGAGAGCTGGCATTGGCAATGTGGGCATCTACTCGACATGTTCACCCTGCTTCTCAGGCCTTGGCTCAAAAGTCAGAGAAGGCTTCCCTGACCACCCATATTAAAATCTTAACTTTCTCCCCTCCTTGACTTTTCTCTGTGTAACAAATCATTATGTACTTGCTTGTGTTTTGCTTACTTGTTTATTTGCTATTTCTCTCTACCCATGTGCATTCCACAAGGATAAGGACTATTTACTGTGTGTTCTATTCACTGGTAGACTCTTGATGTCTGTAATAGTTTTAGGTACATAGCAGACGTTCGTTAACTATGTGATGGATGAAAAAGTGAAACCCGGATGACTTTCCTATGGACCTAGAAGTACCTTGCTCAGTTCGACTGGGGCTAAAGGAACAGGTGGCAGGCAGCCTCATGAACTTGAGCGGCCATTGTGGTCAGGCACAGTAATGACATTGGACTGGTCAGTTACACAATATAAAAGATTTGTAGAAAAGCCCCATACCAATAAGGTTAAACGGGAGAGTTGTGGAAATGGGAAGAGGTTTTTGAATTTGAGATTGTTTTGTTTCATTTACATTAGCGACTCTGTTCTGGCCTATGCAAGACTTCCTCAAGATACTTGTGGCAATCAAATCCAGTACTTGGGAGGGAGGTATGGGGCATATGGGCCTTCTCAGCTCATGTCATCATGAATGGTGGTGAGTAGGATGGTGATTCTTTTTGGCCAATCAGTGAACCCTAAATCTTTACAGAACTGGACCAACCAACTTATGAAACTTGAAGAAAGGAACTAGAACACTCACTTGATTCCCAGGGTCTCTAGGTCAGAAACCTCAAATGCTTCTCTCTTGTTTTCTTGCTCTTGATACTGAAGCACAGACATTTAGAAAGGAGAAAGAAGACAAAGAGATGTTTTTTCAAAAAAGTGTATTTGGTTGTTTCTTTTTATAATAGCACTCTGATTCACTAGACTAGAGCTTATTGAGGGCAGAGCTTATGTTTTATTCACAATTATATTTTTAGTGGCTAGAATATTACCAGCTACATAAGAGAACAAATGAATAAATAACTTAATAAGCATATTAAGGGCTATATTAATTCTTTATTTGGGGCTATATTAATTCTTCTGATAGTATTAATTTCTGACTAATGTAGGATTTCTCTACACAAGTTTGCTTCATTCTTAAGATACTCTGTGATAATTTTTTGGAGTTATCTTTGGAAAGAAGCAGATTTCAACTAAAATGCACACAGCAATAATGGACACAAACTAAAAGTTTACGTTCTCCTGAGTTGAATTGGATGATTGGAAGTATCTCTGTGGGTGCCTGCATGTTGTTTGGTTTTGTTTTGTTTTTTTGAGTTGGAGTTTCACTCTGTTGCTCAGACTGGAGTGCAGTGGCTGCTCCTGGCCTCTGCAGCCTCGACCTGCTGGGTTCCGGCGATCCTTCTGCCTCAGCCTTCCAAGTAGCTGGAACTATAGGCGCGCGCTACCATGCCTGGCTAATTTTTGATTTATTGTAGAGATGAGGTCTCGCCAAGTTGCCCAGGCGGGTCTCGAACCCACGGGCTTAGGCAATCCACTCACCTCAGCCTCCCAAAGGCTCCTGGATGTTGTACGGGACCATGTTGCACGGAGCCAACGGACCGTGCTGCACCAAGCCATAGAGATACAATTCTGATATGCAAAGGCCCTCTCAGATAGTATGTGAACTCATCATGCCTGCCAGAAAAACTGGGCCAGGGTCAGCAAGAGAATGGTATCAATACAGCTTGTCTATGATGAGCTCCATCTGTGAGGCCCAGGAGTCAGCCTGTGGGCAGATTTTCCAAAATGGAAGGGCTTTGGCTGGCCCTGGAAACAGAGCCCAGTCCCCCCTTGGTAACCAGCATCTACCCTAGAACCTGAGAGGAGATCTCAGAGACAGTCCCCTACAAAGCTGTGATGTGACAGGCTGCACTATGGACTCCAAATTTGTATGCATGGTGCCAGTAGGGTTGTACAGTGCTAGTAACTTGCCAGAGGAGGGTCAGAGGATCCATTCAGGACCCAAGAACATCCAGGTGGAAGTTGTCATGATCCCTGAGCTCCTGAAATCCAAGGCACTTTGAGCCTACATGAAGAAACTTTCATTCTCACAATAACATCAAAGAACTAGCAAACATGCTAGCGTAACATCTAAGAGAACTAACTTGTTAATATTGTCTAAGACGGGGGTGGGGGGATTGGGGGTGGTAGTTTGTATTTATTTCTGTAGCACAGGACAAGCTTTAGTTGATAGTTTTATAGGAGGCGATGCTCAGGGGAATCCATTGCACCCTCAAAGTAGTCCTGCTCCTTCCTTCCTGTTTTCCAGCATGGGCTACTGCATCCTTGTCGTGCATGGATTGAACAAGCTCTGCACGTGGCTGAATCGATGTGGGGCCACAACCCTGATTGTGTCCACTGTGCTACTGCTGCTGCTTTTCTCCTGGAAAACTGTGAAACAGAATGAAATTTGGCTGTCAAGAGAGTCCCTGTTCAGGTAGGATTCAACAGATAAAAGTGAATCTCTTCCCATATTTCTTTGCTTACATACTTGTATTGTTTCTAAACAATTGAGGTAATGTGGGCCTGGTGGTACTTATGAATCCAGAAAATCATCTTTAGTAAAGTTTTAAGTGGAAGATGTAATTTTATTTCGGATTTTAACTTTAAAAATTTTTTTTAATGATAGTATATAAAATTTAACGTGAGCTTGTTCTAAGTGAATTTATGAAAATAAGACTCCTGGGAAGGTGTTTGAGTCTGTGAATTCAGATGGAAACAGTTTTAATGATGAGCTGGGCTGTAAAATCAGCTATAAACAGAATGAAACCGATAGGCCTAATTTCATTGTTCAGTCAAGTGAATGGGAAAGGTGAGTGCACAACAAGGAAGAGGAATGGAGTACATTTTTTCTAGAATATTCCAGCATCTTAAGTTATGACCTATGATCTAGTTGCTGTATTTTGAACATTAACTTTGAATGAGGAAATGAAAGACCTTTTTTTTTAGATTTAATTTCCTGATAAGTTTTTCTATGGTGTAGAAGCTGTTTCTGAATATAACAGTGCCAATTTATAGCCCTAAGTTTGTTGTCAAGTATAAACAGTCTTTGAACCTGCCATTCATGATGTTGTGTTTCTGCAGCTTAGTCTGCCTCACTAATCACTTTATTTATTTACTATTACTATATCATTGTCATGATCATTATTTCAGCGGGTACTGTAGGTAACTGTTGCAATGTAAAGTTTTTTGTGTGGATTTTTTTTAATGAATTTTTTTCACACAGATCTGCAAGATGCATCTTAGTCGTCAGATTCTGTTCAGTCTGTCATCCTGGCTACATTAAACATGGTTCTCACAGACCACAATGAACTCGTTCTCTCCTATTGCCTTATGCTGAGTTCATTCTGTAAACACGCGGGTATTGAAGTTCAGTAATATCACTTCCTCCTAGTCCCTGTTGGCTTAAATTCTTTTCCTTTCACTTTCAATAGTCAAAGCTTTTATGAGAAACACTGAAACAGTCTTACCCTGTATTAAAACCTTTGCCTTAATAAAGGCACTAACAGTGGTTATATCTTCTAATGATGTTAACTGCTTATTCAGAGCAACATTAGGGATGAATTTTGGCAGGCTTAGTGCTCAAGCCTTCTACTGCTGATGCCAACAGTTTAAAAAAAGAAGAACAAAAGCTCATTGACATTGCATCCAGAAGCTTATGATATTTTAGATGGAAGTATATAGTAAGTGAGCAGTTGATCCCAAAAACACAAGCATTCCATTATGCTCTTATAGAGACTGTGCCTGGAGAAGCCTTTGGTGGTCAAATGGAATTACATTTTGTGTAATGTGCAGACCAAAGCTACGGGTATTTTAAACTTTGCCCATTCTTATTTATTTGTTTATTTATTTACCCTGAGAAAACTTTTAAGAATCTGAGACTTTAAGACCCTTCTTTTTCCTTCAAGGCCAGTTGTTTGTGTGAATTCATCTGTGCTAAGTAATGTTCAGATCAGTTGAACAAACATTTACTGAGAATTTGTGAGGCAGGATAAGGTTAGTGGTTGGGTGTGGAGTCTCGATTCAGATTTTCTTCTGACTGTGCTCCAAGTTCCACTATTTAATAACTATGTTTTGGGGCAAGTTATTTAACCACTCTGTGCCTTAGTTTCTTCACTTTAAAATTTAGAATAATAGTGCTTATCTCTTGGGCATAATATAAGAAAAAAATTATATGTGAAAGGTACATAGGACAATGTCTGACATGTGGGAAACACTGTGTTTTCAGATTATTACTGTGTATTGTGTTCTTGAATGAGAGAAAGAGAAAGGGAGAAAGAGAGAATGTCTGTAGAGGAGATGGAAGTCTGTATAGAAGTCAGACACATGAACATATTTCATTATAATGTAGCATAAAACACAGAGCAATGTGAGTGCAAGTGAATGAGTAGGTGACTAAGACCCACTCAGGCCTTCAAAAACCATTCTCTTGTAGGTCTGGGCTGCATAAGAAAGAATGAGAGAAACCCAAGTTAACCATAATGGTCAAAACCAAGAGCTGGCTGAATTGAGTAAGAAAACACTACAGTAATTCTAGAAACAGTGATGTCCTTGGCAGATTCCTACTTCTGATTTCTTCTTTGTTCCAGACAATAATCCCATTGGCCATTTCTAGGACATACAGTCTTGCTGAGGCCTAATTTTGTGGGATGGTTTTGCTTGGCAATACTATGAGCAATCTTACAGAGTATCTTAAGGCAGAACTTTATGTTGAAGAAAATACAAATTTTGGTCAAGCTCTAATCTTTCTAGCTGAGGCCTCCTCTTACACAAAAGATCCCACTGTATGATGTATTTTTAGGAGATTCAGATGCAGCATTCCTGGACAACTTCATTCTTCTATTGGCAAGAATCTTATACAAAAAAAGCACTAGAACCCAACACTTGTGTCTCATCAAGGGCCAGAAGAGGTTAAGTTGTCCAACCTGAAATAGCTGTTAAAAGGAGCCAGGATTTGAACTCAAATCTGGTGTAAAAAGTCAGAGAATAAAAAACTTTTCCTTGCCTATTTTTTACTGTTTTCTAACCTAAGCTAGGATAGAGAGGGACTGATTCATAATCATAGCTGCCAGGTATACTTTCTTTAATTCTTATGACAAGAAACTGCTCTCTGTCCTGGGAAGAGGGTAACTAAATAGCTCTGTTGGGCTTAGTAATAGCCCAGAAGCCTATATTTGTTTGGAGTAAATAATACCATCATAATGTAATTTGATTAGATTAAGTCCCCTTCCCCCTCCAGTCTTCAAAATAACTGAATGAAGACAAACATATTTTCTTTTGCATCCAGTTCAGGGTTTCTCTAAATCCCGTTTATGAACTGTTAAGTGATCCATGGACCATCAATTAACCCTTTATGGCCTAGATCATCTTCCTATTCTGTAGGAAACATAGTTCTCTCTTCTCTTCTCTGAATTGCTGAGCCAAAGAGATCAGCAGACCTCCCAGAGCAAAAAAAAATTTTAATTTAAATAAATAAATATTGCACATGCGCACGTGCTCACGCGCGTACACACACACACACACACACACACACACACACACACACACACACACACGTGCGCACATATACCAGGTACTGACATTCTTTTGTAAAGGGCCAAATATCAGATATGTTAAGCTTCATAAGTCAGACAATCTCTTTTGCAACTATTCCACTCCAGCATTTTCTCAGGAAAAAGGCCAAAGGCAATATGTAAACATATGGAAGTGTCTGTGGCCCACAGACTGTAGTTTACTTACCAATTGTATAAACATTGTGATTGTGAAATAATTCTAATGTCACTTGTATCCTATGGTACTGTTTTGGTTTAACATCAAATATTGATCACCTGCGGAAATGATTCTGATCCTTTTTTTGGCCTTGGATGAAATCTTTACTCACTTAATAGGTCTGTAACCTTAGAAAAAGGTCTTAATGTCTCTGAGCTTCAATTTTCTCTTCTGTGATATGGGAGGTGTAATGATACGCCTATTTGATAGGTTATTGAAAACACTAAAGGAGATGATCAATGGAAATGGGTGCTCAGCCCAGCACTTGTTTTAAAACAAGTGTTGCATAGGTACTGGCCTTCTTGGGTGTGGCATTATGAAATCTCAGGTCAAAACAGGTTTCAGAATTGAGGAGAGCCATAAATTCTTCTTACTTTCCTTTTCTGTTAACCTCTGGCTGACACTACTTTTTTTTAATGTTCATTTTCTAAGCAGGTATTTGGGGATAGTTCTCCTACCTATTGCTCAGTGATGCCCACAACACAAATTGATGTAAAAACTTGGAGATGCACCTGATTAAAGTGACTTTTTTGCTATTTCTGTTATTTCTCAAGTCTTCTGCAAACAAGAGGCGTGAGGGAGAATTGTACAATGCATGAATTTAAAATCTTGAGTTAAAAGGGAGAGATTTATTTATAATCGTCGTATGTATTAACAGTCTTGGGTCCAGCCATATAATTTATGAATGTTATATTTCTTTGTGGAGTAAATATTAGTAAAGCTGGATGTTTTCTTAATTGGAAGTGTTACATCAGAGCATCAAGAAGGACCGGTCCTGGAGAGATGAGTGACCTGGCCAGTTAAGTTTCAGGGAAAATGTTGCCTTTGGCTTGTTGTTTATTTTCTTTTTTCTTTTCACAAACTGTTCAATGTGAAATGAAAGCCTGGAAAAACATAGCAGAAAAATATCACAGAGAGAACATAGAGGTCAAAAACAACAATGGGAAAAGCAGTGTGTTCTTAGAATTTTCATTACTCCACCCTCTTCTGCTTGCCTGTTAGGAACATGATTACTTCCTCTTGCCATCATGAAACAATACCCTGATCTCAGCAAGGACCATGTTTGCACAGGCCCAATTGTCTATTCCTTGGGTGAAATGTAAATTAGAGGACTGAGCTGGTCACACAGAGGAAAGGGTCGATTTCAATAAGCATGCCAGCTGTAATCACAGTTATCTTCAAAACTTAGTTATTGCTTATGCACCAGTTAGTTCTAGCGAAAAAATCAGAGATTTTCCTGAATAGAAATTTGATTTTTTGTAAGTAACGTTTTTTTTTTTCCTGGATCCTGCTCATTTGATTACGTTCACTTTGGGTACTATCCATTTAAAAATTATATTAAAATCCTAGCTACCTGCCATAGATTTTATTTACTTTTTAACATTCAAATGCAAATATGTATAAACCATAAATGGTATCACCAATGAAAGGTAGTGTTAGTATTTTAGCATCCACCCCCAAATAGAAGTATCTACAGTATACGTAGGAAGTGTCTTTGGCTGTCATACAAATGCTGTACTCTGTAACCTGTTACTGGTCGCTGAGCCTCTCTAAGGCTCAGTTCTCTTTCCTGTAAAATGAGAGGGAGAGAAAGGGGAAGAAATTGTCTCCAGAGTTCCTTCCGATCTTCCCATCTGTGAAGTGTGGACATTTTGATTTCCTTCACCCAAAG